TGGCTCTTCTCTTAGTGCAAGGAGTCGGGAGGAAAGAGGAGGTGAGGACATGTAAACATTTACTGAGGCAGTCAAGAGAGGCCAGTGCCAGCATTTGTAACCCAGGCGGGGACAGGACGCACTCAGGCCCTGTCCCTGGATGGGCTGTGAGGCTCCTTCTAGCACCCACATCAGATATAAGACTTGGGCGGGAAAAGGGCTGCCTCCCAGGAAAAACTGAATGAACAGAAAAGTGCCCAGCCCTTTAAGAATCTTGCCATAATGAAGCTGATTTCTGGTACTTCTGAGCGAGTACTGTAACCCAGCGGATCAAGGTATCCCTGCATCCTGAGTGCTCTGACTCAGCCCTCTTACCCCACGCCCATGGCATGGCTGAGCCATTAAGGAACTGCAGAGGCAGAGGGGAAGTCCCTCGAGCTGGGCGTGGGGGAGGCGGCTCCGCACCTGACAGCAGGGCTGGCTGGCTACTGGGCTTCCAGGCAGTGAGGGCTTTGGAGCCCCTGGGGACACAGACACAAAGATGGGGTGGCACTGGGAGTTCCATGACTGCAGCTTGGCACTCAGCCCCCTTTGACTCTTTTCATAGCAAGCAGGAGGTGCTACAGAGATCCATACTCATGTCCATAACAACGCAGGCCATCTTGGGGCACTGGGAGCTACAAGTAGCAGAAGAGACCCCTTTTCTGCTATCTCCAAGAGGACTGGTCACTCAAGTGGTCACTGAAAGAAAGGGGGTGAGACCTCAGCAATCACAAACTTCAGAGGACCTGAGCAAAGCTCTGGGAGGGGCTGATCATCGGTTCTCTTGTGGGAGCAAGCACAGATTTTGCCCAAGGAGGGCCTGAACCCCACAGCTAAGGGCTGCAATACTTGAGCCCACCATGTTTCAGGGGGCTGGGAGTAAGAGGATTCTGGCAGCAGCAGACACAGGTGAGTCCACACTCAGACCGACAGCAGCCCCCCACTAAAATCTGAAGACCACTAAGCACCATCCAAACCTTGGAATAGCAAAACCTGAATTCTGACACCCGAACCCCTGGACACAGGCCACAAAAGCTGTGTAACAGCAGGCCTGTGTTTTCACCTCCCAGATCTCCATTTACTCATCCAATGAGAGGAGAGAGCTGGTGACAACCCTGGACACAGTGGTCCCAAATAGGAAGCAATGGCTTCCTATGTTTGGAGAGGAGAACCAATCTGAGGCAATTCAGATTGCTGAAGGTAAAAATTAATTACCAGGCATGAAAGTTAATGGTTAAATCAGTTGGGCCCATAGGTACCTCCTGACACCCAGGACAGACATCTGCAGTAGACCTTGGGCCTCACACTCCCATGACAGAGAGGTGCCATCGAGAAGACAGCCAGACTGTCTGCTAGGTCCCTGTGCAGAGCACGGCCAGAATGCAGCACCCAGACAGAGGCAGTGAAGGCAGTAAAAGGGCAGGTCCAGGATGGCTGAGGTTGGAGAGGTTCGGGGTTTCCTGGGACACAGTCCGGGGCCCTCTGATCAGTCTTTTTCAGGGGCAGCATGCTCAGGGCAGACAGCTCTGCTTCCAGTGCAAGGGAGGCAGGCCCCAGTCCCAGCCTGGACAACATGGTGTTCACACCAATGACTCAGGAAGTAGGAGCCAGCGTGGGACAGGACCCAACACCTCTCCCTTCTGAAACCAAGTCTCCACCTCCCGAGCTAAGTGGCACCTCAGTCCTGTTTGTACAGTCAAAGTGCCATCCAGATGCACCCAGAAAGTGGTGAGGAGAGTTGGCTTGGGGATGCATGCTGTGCAGACGAGGAGGGGACACAGGCACCTTCTAAACCAGGGTCCAGGTACTCAGGACACCCTGTGCCCACAAGTTCTGCCCACCCAGTCTAGCCCTATACAGGGCCTCGGGTTTAAAAAATCTACCTGGAGGTGTATATCTACCTGGAGGCGACCTGATGACTACAGGTCATACAGATACGCTCAACTGACCATTCCTCTAAAGCAAGTGCCTCTGGGTAGGACAGACAAGGATGTACGTGCCAGGAGCATCAGTGGCATGATAAGATTATCGTTTAAAGGATGATGCTACTGCTCACCGAAGTTCAATGGAACTTGGGGAACCTGACAAGGAGTCCTGTCCTTTCCCCTTACCCCATGTCAATGCTCCATGGCCTACCCTCCTAAAACAGCTATAATTCTCCTACTTCCTTTTCTCTCCCGTCAATGAGTCAACCAGTAGGCAAGAAAACCCTAGTCACGATGCCTGGACAGCTCAAGTGGCTCCATGAGCAAGCAGTCACCCACAAAGCACAATGTCTGCCATCCCAAGCTTTCCAATATTTATAAACACATTGACTTCCCCAAAACCTAAATAATTCATTTTACCATAATTAACAGCTAACAATAAGCACAGGATCATGGGAAATATCATTCACCCATTTTACGCATGAAAAGGGAGCCCCGTGGTCCTCTCCTGACTCAGTTCCCCTGCCTGAAGGCTCCACAACTCCCAGTCAACGGAGGGGGCCTGTTCGGCCGAGTCAAGAGCCTCTGCTGGCAGCTATGGTGGCAATGGGAGCTGACAATGGCAGTGGGGTTTAATATACCCTAAAATATGCTAACAAGCTCTGTGAATGTGAAAAGCAGAAGGGGTGCGCTGCACAGAAGACACCCACAGAGCATGCCACCCCCAAGTCAGTAAGCTGTCTGACCAGGGAGGCCTCCGGCGAGAGCCTGTGTTCTTTAGCAAATCTTCCCAGCCCCCATGAAATCCGGTGTGCCTGTTTTTAGGGAGCCCGTGCAAGCAGTAACCAAGTACCCAAACATCTGGAGAGTCACAGTCCTCCCAGGAGACAGAGTTGACCCCCAACCTACATCATTTCCAGAAATGGCTGAGAATTTAGCTTTCATATCCCCACAGTGATAGCACGATGGTTTACGAATAAGAGGCTTTTTTGTTGCTCCTGCCACTATGATCCACCTTATGGAAAAATATGAATAGTGATCTATTCCCCCCACCCTGCTCCAGCTGCTATCCAATAAGACTAAAAGTTTTTCCCAGCAAACTGCCAATTCTTGCAGTGTAGAATGGCAGAACCAGTGAGAGGCAGGACTTCTAAAACATCCTTTGCACCAAGGAATTCAATCCCCCTAATAGGCAGGGCTGGATCCCCATTAAGAAACAGTGTAAGCACATCGGGCTCAATTCTGTAGCGGCGGGTCAGGGTGGGCTGGGCAGCAGCGTTGGCACAAGGGGAGGCACACACAGGCACATACATACATGTGTGCACATGCACACAGGGGCAGCATCTTTCGGGCACTCTCCCTTGTCTGCCCCACTTGGTACGCAATACAAGCTGTGCACGACAAGACTCACCACAACCACGATGCTCAGGGACTCATCCAAATCACCACAAGGTGATATTTTCCCACTCTCCGCCACATAGAGATCTCTTTAACCCAGTCACTTGGATTAAAAATAGACAGCACATCCGGCCCTCCCTGGTGGCGCAGCGGGTTAAAGCACAGCACTGAAAAATAGACAGCACATCCAAAAACGGAGCAGATCTGTGGGCAGCTCAGACCTAAAATAAAGCTTGACTGCACATCAACTGCCATGAGTCTGGTGAGCGCCTGGCCTCAGTCAGAAAGAGGAAGCCTCCAGAGCAAGACCACAAAGGAGGGCAGGAGTGTACATCACGTGAAGGGTGTACATCATCCTTCTTCCTTCTTGGAAGGAGGAGGCGCAGTTGACAGAGGGCAGGCAGGGTGACCAGCTTGGGCACTGGGGACAGTACCAGCGTGTTCCATGGTCTTCGTAATGAAAAGTTTATTTCCTAAACCATTTAATCTTTTCCTTGAAAAAACAGGGCTGGACTAGCCAATGGTTCTTCCAACTATCTGTGTGTGGCCATAGATGGGGGATGCGACGTGTGCATGTACACGTGTGCGCATGTCTTTGCATGTATGAATGGAGCGTGCACATCCATGAGTGTAAAGTGCATGTACCTGTTTGAGGTACTGTGCACGCATGTCCGCACCTGTGACCATGTTGAGTATGTGTGTACAGTGGAGAGTGTGGGGGAGCCGGTCCCCTGGTTGCACAAGTTGAACATACGCAGGTGAACCACACAGAAACCCACCTCCAGCATGCACTTCCTCTGCTCAGAGCATGAGGGCCGAGGGAAAATTCTCCAAAGTTGCCAGCCAACAGGACCACAGCAACAAAATCGCCAGGCTCTCTAAAACCCCATCTCTCGGGACTCCCCACCACTGGACCACCGACGGGGTATCTGGCAGGAGCCCACTAAGACAGACCAGCCAGTCAGCACAGGCCTGCACCTCCTCTGGTACCGCAACGGTTACCACGTGCCTCCAATAGAGGGCACAGACCCCATGCCCCAGCCCAGGAGAATGCCTGTGACTCCCCACATGCCATTTCCAGGCTCCCACACCCATCTAAGCACAGCAAGGCCCCCAAGATTTCTTGGGGGCCATTTAGCAATGTAACCACCCCAGGGAATGTGCCGACAAATACCAAACCACTATTTCCTAAGGCACTACCCCAGACTCCTTGGATGGGCAGAAAACCCCAACCAATCCATGAAAAACTACCCTGTAAAAGAAGTCAGAAAAAATCCTTAAGACCAGGACTATGCCCTGCACTTCCTAGCTCTACCCTCTCTCTGCCCTGAAAAGCAGCTTGTTGAGTAATTGGAAACAAGGGATCATTTGTCATGGAGAAAGGACTGTGACGCACCAGAACAAAATTACTGAATTCTTATCTGAAACCAAATTCTTCAGTGTTATTTTCTATAATTAAAAACATGGATTTCATAGCTCTTCATCTTATTCCTGGGATGAAAAGTATATACCCTGTGGGAAAGCATCAAGTAGCTACTTCTAAAGAGTTTCATTTCTGGGGCCACAGTCCAAAGCTGTCCCCCTTGTGGTGTGTATCATTTATCGAAGGCCAATTTGACTATTGGCGCCCCCCTGGGAAAGCAATGAGAGCCTTACCTTGGCTTCACATTTCTTGTGGCAAGAATACTTGCAGGCTGGAAGAGAGAGAGAATTGCATGTTAAGCAGGGTCTGCAGTGACAGTTCTGCATCTCCAAATTTTCTTGATCCTTGAAAACATCTGGATTGAAGGAGGTTTTTCACCTACGTCACAATGTCAAGTTGCAACAGAGCAGGGGGTGATGTGACAGCAGCCCAGTCACAAGGTTCTGTGAGTGCCCCTCCTGAGGACATAGGCGAGGACTTCCTGGTGGAAACTTCTGGGGGGCAGAGTTGCAAACAGATCGGTTTCTGGAGAGTACATGCAGCCAAATTGAATCCCTGAAGCAGAAATGTGGTAATTCTAGGCAGTAAAAAGCATCAATATTGGCCTGAAATTATAGCTTGTCCAGAGGAAAGAAGAGAAACTTGAAAATGCGCTGTAAGAATCAGGACTGGAGTCTCCATTAATGAGAAAGTGGCGCATTGAATTCCATACTCCTTCCACTTCCGGATAACCTAAGAACGGCCTGTCAGAGTAAATCCATGTCTAAATTCCTGCGGGATCCTCCCACTGGGGCCATTGTGTGACCAAGAGAAGAGTGTGTCGGTTCTGAGGCCCTAACAATGCAGATTTAGAGCCGGAACCAATGTGATTTCACAGGACTGCCCCTCCAGAGGCTGCAGCTGTGCTGACACCACATAAAAGCCTGTCACCCCTTCCCTACAGCCGCCCGAGGCACGCAGGCCTGCTGGTCAGTGTTTCCAGGCACAGAGGATGGCAGGACAGGGAGATACTGAAGAATAAAGCGACGGCACCAAACCTTCCCATCGTAAGCTCTCATGTTATTTCCCCCACATGAACCCATGGGGACACCTCTGGGATGGGGGAAAGCCTCTGAGGTGGGGTAGATGGGTCCCGGGCTATCTGGTCCTGTCTGGCTGGACCGCCCTAGGCAAGGCACGCCACCTCTCTGAGCCTCTGCCCTCTCCCAGGGTTGTCACGGTGCCCCATGAAATACTAGAGGACCTGCGTGAAAGCACAAAGCACAGGCTTAGTGTTCAGAAGTGGACAGGGCCCTAGGGGAAGGACTTGGAGGTCAGGAGCCAGGCCACAAATTCTGGCTAAGCATTTCAAGATTCAAATTTTTCATTCCCTCTACATTCTTCTCCTTTCTGGGAGCTGGGGATAACTCATGAAAATGTACAGAAGATTCAAGGAGGACAAAACAAAGTGACAGGTCGGGGAAGGGTGGCAGTCACCGGACATAAGGAGAATAGAGCCAGGATATGAACTGGTGCCAGAATTGTCTCCTACGCCTCTGTGGTTTTTCAGATGATTCACAAAGACAAGTGTTTATTCTACATCTTCTACTAGATATACCCACAAAGGTGGTCAGTGATTTTCTAAGCAAGATAGACTTGTCATTGGAACAAATGGCACAGCCAGGCCAGATTGAAAATAGAGACAGGAAAAGAGCCAGGGGCTAGAGGCCATCAGGCAGGAAAGAGCAAGATAAAAGGGAGGGCTGTGGAGAGGCACATGGCTTTGGGGTAAGTGAGAACTAGCAGAAAGCCAGGTGAAGAATTCCTGGCCGCCTAGGGTAGTCCAACCACATCTACTCAACCGACCCCGCAGGTCTGCTCAGCAGCCTGAGACGGGCTCAGTCAATGTGCAGTGGTCAGTCTCCCAGGTGGCATCAGTCATGCACCTGATACTCACATCCCTGTGCCGTCGCCTCCGACAAAGGCTCGGACCTGTCTCCATGATGATGTAGAATGGTGGAAGCACGGCCTGGCGCTTCGCCTGGGGATCACCCCTTCTGAAGGAAGCCAGCTGACCGGTAGTTAAGGCACTGAAGTGGCCCATTGGAGTTGTTTAGCACTCCCCCGCCACAAACAGTCATGTGAGGGTACCATCGTGGAAGCTGGCCCTCCTGCCCCAGCGAGACTTGAGGTGGCGCAACCTCTTAAGAGCCTGAGTCAGAACTGTCCAGCCACAAAATTCCAAAGTCCCTGACCCACAGAAAAGTGAGAAATGACAGGAGCTATTTTCCTGTTAAGGTTCTAACTTAGGGGGCAACTTTTTTTAAAAAAAAAAAAAAGATTTATTTATTTATGCATACAAGATCTGGGGTACAGGCCAGAGGTGGGGGGGGGGTAAGCAGGGTTCACCAGAGACAGAATTGGTAACAGGATAGGCAGATTGACTGAAATGAGGGGAACCATGGGTGGGTCAGAAGAGGTCTGTCATGCCTAGGGGGCAACTTTTTATAAAGCAGCAGATAATTAACACAATAGGTCAAGGGACCCTGAAAGGGCTCTAGTCATGAAGGTGCAACTGATTCATGGTGGGTGATCTACTTGGGCACAGCAATGACACTGGCCATTGCAGGTAAGATCGTCACAACCACAAAGGTCAACTAATCATGAAATCACACACACCACCCACCCAAGTGCTGCGGCTAAGACCCCAAGAGGTAGGTATTGTTTCTGGGGTGAGGGCAGGTGATTTCCAAAGTGCGATAGACTTTACAGCCTATAGCAACAATGTGGGGGGTCCCTGAGTTTTCCTCAGAATGGTGATGCAGCCTGCACTGTGTGGCCTGGGCCTGGGCCTGACGCTTTCCCATGCATGCGCTGCTTTCTACCGTCATTTACTACACTAAGGAGAACTGTAAGGGTGGCTGGGCCAGTCCCAGCCCCAGCTTCTCACCCAGCCACACATGCCTCTCTGACAGATCATAAACAGACAGAGTCCAGCTGGATTCCAGTCCTATCACCTACACAAGAAAGAGCAAGTTCCTCAGCAGGGACCTAACTTCCTCTAGCTCCCCCAGTCTCCCTTCCCCGTATCGGGCAGCCCACTCACCATCCTCACACCCCTCCGTGGCCCTGCTGCTCTGCTGTCTCTGGATCTCAAATTTTTCACACACCTTTGTGTGTCAAGCTGACTTGTTTCTTTCTGAAAAACCGAAGATAAGAGCTCCTCCCTCTGCTTGGTCACCCCCACAGTGGGTGATCTACTTAGGCACAGCAGCAACACGGGCCATTGCCCAAATTTGCTCTGAAAGCCCCTAGGCCCACCTTCCTCTCCAGCACTCATCTCACTGTTCATCACCTCAAAGCCTGATTAGGCTCAGCTCAGGCAGAGAGGGCATCAACAGCTTCCATACAGGACACAAAACAGTCTGGAAAGGCGACAGGAGATCGAGCGCCACCTTATGTGGGCTCAGCTGGGATCAGTTTCCATTGTGCAGGGATGATCAGTTTTCACCATGAAAGAGCCATGGTTCTTCTGCCTGTGTTACCCACTTGGGACAGGATTTGTGAAGTGACCTGAGGTTTCATTCATCAATTCAATTGTGTACTATTACCTGTTGTAGGCTTGCTTTTAGAAGCCCAGATTCAGCAAGGCAGACACATTCGGGATTTACTTACCTAATCAGCCTCTTTCCATGTCATCCCAGGGAGAAGGGGAGCCACAGAAAGTTCCAGAACTTCCCTGATAAAACGCATCCCCAAACCTCACAGGCACAAAGAGAGCAACACAAACACATTTACTTAACCACTATTCTCCCTCATTTTCTACTCTTCACAGAAGCCAAAGCTGCTAGTCTTGTTTTCTTTCTGTTTTATGGAGGTATAATTGAAAAAATTGTATGCATTTAAAGTAGACAACTTGATGATTTGACATATGTCTACATTGTGAAATAGTTACCACATTCAAGTTAATTAACACATCCATCACCTCACAGTTACCTTTGTGTGTGTGTAGTGAGAACAGCTAAGATGTACTCTTAGCAAATGATAAGTATATAATATGGTGTCATTGCCTACAGTCACTATGCTGTATGCTAGATCTCCAGAAGTTGTGTATCTTATAAATGAAAATTTGTTCCCTTTGACCAGCACCTCCCCACCTACCACCCCCTCATTCCCTGGCAACCACAGATGTTCTACTATCTGTCTGTGTTTGCCCAATTTTTTGTTTCTTTAGATTCTGTATATGTGAGACCACAGGTCTCACAGGTTTTCTATGCCTGATATTTTATTTAGCAGAATGTCCTCTGGGTTCATCCATGTTGCTGTAAATGACAAGATTTCCTCCCCTCCTGTGACTGAGCAATATTTCTGTAATAGGTGCATGCACAGCAGGAAACATGAGTGCAGACATCTCTTTCATGTTGATTTTGCTAGGCATATGTAGTCCTATTTCTAATATTTTGAAGACACCCCACACTTTTTTCCAGAAATGACTACACCAATTTACATTCCCATCAACAAAGCATAAGGCTTCCCACTTCTTCAGTTTCTCTTGTGCTTTTTTAATATGAAATGCTTCATTAATTTGTATGTCATCCTTGCACAAGGGCCATGCTAATCATCTCTGTATCATTAAAAATTGAATACGGGCCCTCCCTGGTGGCACAGCGGGTTAAAGCACAGCACTAAGAAGCGTAAGCCACTTCCTCATGAGTTCGATTCCCTCCCGCCTGCCCTGGAGAAGATCTACATGGCGTGGCAGACCTCTCCTGACCCGCCCACTGCTTCCCTCAGCAGTGTACTTCCTTGATCTGCCTGTTCTGCTCCCCATTGTGTCTCTGGTGAAGCCTCTCACCCTCCGCATCTCTGGCCTGTACCCCAGTTCTGTATGAATAAATAAATCTTTAAAAAAAAAATCGAATACGTTTGGGCCCTCCCTGGTGGTGCAGCGGGTTAAAGCACAGCACTAAGAAGCTAAAATCACTTCAGCATAAGTTCTATCCCCACCTGCCCCGGAGGTGACCACACGGCGTGGCAGACCTCTCCTGGCCCGCTGCCACTGCTCCCCTCAGCAGTGTACTTTGTCAGATCTGCCTGTTCTGCTACCCACTCTGTCTCTGGTGAAGCCTCTCTCCGCCCCTGAGCCTCTGGCCTGTACCCCAGTTCTGTACGCACAAATAAATAAATCTTTAAAAAAAAAATTTTGAATACGTTTGGCAAAGTAAACATTCTCTCTCATATTTTTGATAATCGCTGTTTTAACAGGTGTGAAGTGACTCCTCATGATTGGTG